CCCCTTACTGACTTCTAGGCACCTCAATAAGCATCCCTTAAACCAACGTGACTGTTGCCGGGTGTGGTGGCGCATGCCTGCAATCCCAGCACTTGGGAGGCTGAAGCAGGAGGATCGTTGCAAGTTAAAGACCAGCCTGGGCTACAAAGTGAGCTCACGCCAGCCTGAACTGCACAACGAGACCCTGTCTCAAAAAGACAAAAAAAAAAAAAAAAAAAAAAAACCGACGTGACTGTTAGTAAACCTGGTCCTCCCAAGTGCCTCTTTCCTATCACCATTCAGATTGCATTAGACTTCGCAGAGCTCAGTCGCCTTGGCACCTATCTCTTCCCCACTCTAGGTCCCTTTCAGAATTTTATATTTAACCCAAATAATTACCCTGGCATATGTCAAAAGTAGCACTGTTAAACCTCCATGAACAGCTCAGGCAGAAAGTACCAAGAACAGTTTCAATTAACCTCACATTTTACATTCATTTCTATCTCCTGAATTTTCCTTGGCATCACAAAAAAAAAGAAAGAAAGGGCTTCTAATTCCAAAGAAAAGCACACACACACACTGTCAACAAAATGCTTTTAGGGCTGGGGATTTAGCTCAGCGGCACAGCGCCTGCCTGGCAAGCGTGAGGTCGTGAGTTCGATTCCCAGTGGTGGGGGGGGGGGCGACGGGGAATGCTCTGAAAGAAGGAGGAATAACTCTCCTTCACAGAACCTACCCTCAAAAAACTTATTGTCTAGTAGGGGAGTTCTGTTATAAATATTTATATACAGCCGGGTGTGGTGAAACACGCCTGTATATCAGCACTTGGGAGGCTGAGGCAGGACGATCGTTTCGAGTTCAAGGCTAGCATGGACTACAAAGTGACTCAAGGCCAGCCTGAACTGTATAGTGAGACTCTGTCTCAAAAACACAAAAAACAAATATTTATATACAAAAATGACACACATCACCAGGTGTGGTGGCACACACCTGTAATCCCAGCACTTGAGAGGCTGAAGCAAAAGGATCACTGTAAGTAAGTTCAAGACCAGCCTGGGATACATAGTGTGTTCAAGGCCGGCTTATACTATGTAGTGTGACCCTGTATCCAAAAAAAAAAAAAATGGCCGTGGTGGCACATGCCTGTAATCCCAGCACTTGGGAGGCTGAGGCAGGAGGATCATTTCGAGTTTGAGACCAGCCTGGGCTACAAAGCCAGCTCAAGGCCAGCCTGAACTGCATAGTAAGACTGTCTCAAAAAGAAAAAATAGCACATTAGCATAAATTTGCATATTGTGTACTAGACACAGCTTTAAGATCACTAATATTGCATTTATTAACTAAATTATTCCCTAAAATTGGTCTCTTATACTAGGCATGACGACACATACCTGTAATCCCAGTGCTCAGGAGGCTGAGGCAGGAGGACTGCCAAGAGTTCTAGGCCAGCCTGGGCTACATAGCAAGAGCTTGTATATCAAAACCAAAATAAATAAATAAATTCCCCTACTATTCAGATGTGGCACAGAGAGGTTTAAGTAATGTGTCTTAGGACACATGATTAGTGAGTGGACAAACTGGATCAGAAACTCAGACAGTGGTCAGATTATAAGGGGCCTTACACCTTTAGTGCAGGCTCTTTACCCTATTTGGCTAGTGGTTTCCAACTAGAAATATATAACCTACCAGACCCCTCAGGGTGGTGAAGGTATCACTGTTGAGGATGACTGCCTCTTTCACCACTGGGAGGGCTGAGCCAGGCACTATGGTACATATAGGTTCCAGCTACTGGAAAGGCTGAAGTAGGAAGATCACTGGAGTCCAGGAGTTTGAGGTCATCCTCGACAGCATAGCAAGACTTCATCCCCAAAATTAAATAATTAAGAAAAATTAACTATTGGGAGAATTTCTATCTTCTAGGTAGTCTGTGATGGCAAACCTTTTAGAGCTTTCAACGGACACAAACAGCCCACTGCAGCACCTATACCATACACAGTTTCACCACCACTTCTCTGGGTGCTGGGGTAAAAAAAACAAAAATAGGGAACTGCCGTAACATAGGTGATGAAGAGTTACCGGGCTCATGAGCAGACAACTCCAGAAATACACGAGGAAGACAATGTAGTTGAGCCCACTCTCACTTACTCACCCAGACAACTAAGCTCCACATCCCACTATACCCCTCACCATTCGGTTTCTAATGTCTGCATATGCTTCATGGGTAAATTCCAGTTCTCTGCTAAGGAATCTCATACTCCCATGCTTTCGACATATGATCAATTTTGTGTGTTCTTTTTCTGTTTAAAATGTTCTTGCTACAAATTTCAATGCTTCTTGGCAGAATAACTAATGCTGTTTAACACACCACTCAGAAGAACCAGTCTCTGCTGCTGGTATGCAAGGGCATTTCCCTCCTATTTGCATTTCTCTTTGGGGAGGGTGCAGCTACCGGGGACAGAACCCAGGGCTACAGCACCTGATCTTTTTCTATTTTTTAATTTTGAGACAAGGTCTTGCCAAGTTGCTGTTACACAGGCTGGGCTCAAACTTGCAATCTTCCTGCCTCAGTCTCCCAGAATGCTGAGATTACAGGAGTATGCCCACACACCCAGCCCACATTTGTATCTCTCACGTAGGTTAGGAGAAGAAACTGAGAATTCTTGAAGCACAAATTTTACCTGTTTTTCTTCTTTTTTTCCTTTCAAACAACTAATCTGGTCTATATCAGTAGGAAGTTTGCCTATGTTGAATCATAGGCAAAAAAAAAAAAAAATTCATTTCTTACTTCACAAATGAGGAAAATACAGCTTAGAAAGGGAAAACAAATTGCTCTGGGTAACCCAACCAATAGCACAGAACAGCAACTTGAATCCTGGTTTTCTGCCTCCAAAACCAGTGAGAAAGACACTAGTGATAAACAGGATGCCTTCAGGTCATATGCGACAAAACATGGAAGGTATGCAAGTGACTCAAGTTTGAGGAACAATGTACTACATCTATCTCCTTCTAATTGAAGGACTAAATAACTGTGCGTAGGGCATTAAGCAATGATCTCTTCCTTTCTCCTTCTCCCTACTTCCCAAGAGGGCTGGGTGAAAACCACAGAACCAAGATTGTGCTAAACTGAGTTACAACACCCCAGGTCCCTTTCTGATTCTTATACTCCATTCTTCTTGTCTCACCGTACTGGCTAGGACCTCCAGGACAATACTCAACTTAAAAAGCCACAGCTGAAATAAACTTATCTAATTCTATAATGCTTCTAAAAGTTCACTTTTTTTTTTTGGAGACAAGGTCTCACTATGTAGTTCAGGCTGGTTTTGAACTCACAACAATCCTGCCTCAGCCTCCTGAGTGCTAGGATTAAAGGCCGACAGGCGTGCATGAGCACGCCCGACTAAATGTTCACCCAAGTATCCTGTTTTTTAGATTACTAGTAGGTATCTTTTTTTTTTTTTTTTTTTGGAGTGTATGGAAACCTTTTTATTCCTAGACATGATCTCACAATGTATCCCAGGCTGGCCTCAGACTTGCAATCGACCCGGTTCACTCTCCTCCGTGCTGGGGTTCCAAACACCACGCTGCCCAACTCCAAAAAGCTGGTTTTTTTCCATTAAATTTAAACTGATCTTTGACCGACCCTTCTCCAAGCCGTGTTCCACTTCCCTCCGTTCTCTTTCTCTCATTCTAGTGTATCTTAAAGTACTACTTCTGTCACCCAAATTAACAGACTCTGATATCCTGAGAGTTCTACACCCTCCTGCTATTTCAATTTCCTGGACCAAAACGTTTCTAAAACTGAAAATTGAAAGGAAATCCTAAAACGTTGTTCTGATCACACGCCAATGATTTGTTCTCTCCATCTCTTACACATACTCTTCCACTCTTTTTTTTTTTTTTTTTTGGTTTTTCTCTGGTACCGGGAATCGAACTCACGAGCTTGCGCTTGCCAGGCAGGCGCTGTGCCGCTGAGCTAAATCCCCAGCCCTACTCTTCCATTCTTTAAAATAAAAACACAAGCTAAAAAAAAGATTCTGGAAAAAAAAAAAAATTCTGCTAACTTAGCACGTTACCTAGCTCTAAACAAGCTAGGTTTCTTAAGTGGCTTGGGAGAAACTCCAAGATTTTAAAGTTTTGAGAAAAAGCAACTGGGATCCAGACGTTTATACTTTTACTCTCTCCTTTGCTAAACTGAAAAATACCAAAGAAAGAAGGAAAAGGGACGTGCATAATATTTATAAGCAAATTAGGTATTTCCAGGATATCAAAGGTAAAGGGGTGGGGAGGCAACCCAATCGAGTTACGAAAGCTCTCGATGATTTTTCTTTCAAGACAAAAGGGCACACTTCTTCCCGAGACGGCAACGCGAGGGGAGCAGCCAAAAACGTTGCATCATATGAAACGCTCCGCGCTGGAGAAACGAGAAAACCAGACGGTGGCGAAACACCTAAGACAGGAAAACCCTCGCCGGGAGTGAACGTCGGGCTCCTCCGACCCCCAGGAGCGGCTGGCCGCCCTTTTGTACTTTTTAAAGACTGCACCGAAAACTGAAAGTTTCGGTTTCAGAGCAGCGGGGCTCGGGGATCCTTCCAGGAGCGTCCGAAGAGGCTGGACGCCTCCTCCGGGCGGGCTGCGCCGGGGCTGCGGGCGGGCGCACGCGGGG